ATGTTCGGAATTCCGGAATGCGCCAAAGTTCCGGAATGTTCGGAATTCCGGAATGCGCCAAAGTTCCGGAATGTTCGGAATTCCGGAATGCGCCATGGTTCCGGAATGTTCGGAATTCCGGAATGCGCCAAAGTTCCGGAATGTTCGGAATTCCTGAATGTTGTAAGGTTCCGGAATGTTCGGAAAATATTGGGGCTACACCAAATCACTTTCATCAGCTAAATACTTCTAATTCATTTTCCCAAACCACGCGGATCCGCACTATATAAGGACTAAAGAGCAGCATGCAGGTTGCAGACCCCTGACTTAGGTGGACAACTCTGGCTGAACAGTGAGTGGCAGGGTATGGAGTGACACATCAGTGTCCAATGTAGTGGTTTATGCACTAGTATACCATCATCACTGATGCAAATACAAGGAAACAGCCTTTGAATAGCTGTTCACTGTAGTGACCACTATGCGTGAAAGGGTTAAATGTTTCAGTGCAACTAGCTGACAGCCTGAGATCTGTCCTAACAATCTCACAGAGTGGACTAATTAAGTGAGTGTACTTTGAATTAAATTGTCAATTTGAGGGCAAGGAAATATAGTCAATTATTATTTTAGTATTATTATTATTCTTGTTGTTGTTATAATTTTTATAGGTCTTAGATGAACAGTGAGTTGGAATCCAATGTGTGGGTCATGGACATTACCGAATGCTGTGATTCACAGACAGTGGCTCAGGAACCACACGTGTCTCACAACACATTATATCTGAGTCAAAGGTTTCAGGTGTTTAAAAACTGGGTCCCAAGGAAAAGATATTGGTGAAATATGACTTTAATCCAATTTGGGGTACTTTTTTGTCTTCGTGTGTTTTCTTATTTACAACTAATATTAATATTAGGGGGCAAGGAGTGACAAAATTAAATACATAAATGAATTAAATACACCATTAAATAATTAAATGTGTCAGTTATTTAAAATTGGAATTAGTGAACTAAATAAAGATTTAAATATTTCTGTTCAAACATTTAATAAATTACTTATTTTAAATTTTATTTGATTAATGACATAAACGCCCCTCATGGTTAATGCCCCCTCATGCATCATCAGATACAATACATGCATACATCAAATCAAAACCACAATGACTTTTAACACAGTTTGAAAAGAACATCCCCTCGTCTCCCTGCCAGTTGTCTTTCTGTCGCTGCCGGACGTACGCTTATCGTCTGAAACATCAGGCCCACATCCTGCAAGAACCTCTACTAAAAGCTTAATGAAAGAATATAAAAGTATAAAAGACAATTTGAATAACCTGGTTATTCAAATAGCATCATTCAATCAGCTCCTCAAAGTAACTTTCACTTTCACAAGCACGCTCTGCAAAAGCCTGCGCTTCCTGTCTGTTGGCACAGAGTGTACTCAGAGTTAGGCCTTTCTTGCATCAGAATCAGCACATACACATTTAAGATTATAACAAGCATTCAAAAGCATTTAAGATTATTGATTTAACTCAACAGTTTAAAGTGGTTATAACTGCACCTGTAATAAAGGCTAATTGGGTACCAATATGTTTAAACATCTGAATACAATATCAATACTGTAAA